ACTCTTGAAGTTATACTTCAAGTTGTTTTAATGAAAGTATTAAGACTTTATTAGCAAAAAAGTATAAAAACTTCTTGTAAACATCTTTTTTGTGTATGGTCAGAGAATCAGTGAAAAGAGTTTTTTGTCTAAGAAAAAATTTTCTTTATCTGAACAAGAATTTATTGATATATATAAGCAAAAGATCAATAATATTTATTATTATTTATTTCTTTTCTTTTCTTTAATCATTTCCTAATTTTTTGAGAAAAATTTTTTGTACATGTAAGTAAAAATATTTTTAATAAAAAATATATATTAATTTTTATTAATTCTAAATTATTTAATTTTAAATTATTTATAAATAAAAAGATCCAAATATTACTTATTTATTTAGTGTTGGATTTATAATCAAATTATATGAATCTCGAAAATATTGTATAATATTATAAGAATATAATTAAAGATGATTATTATCAAAAATCAATTGTGGACTTGAAGTGGAATATGAGAGGTATAACTGAAAGACTCAGTTTGATGGTACATATATATGACTTAAAAAACAATTCATTCCTAGCCTACAAGTCCAGAATATAATATTAATTATATTATTACTAAGTTTGTTCCATGCAATATAAAATATAAAGGTAGAGAACCCTTATAATAATATGTAAATTCTAAATATCACGAAATCAGTTTCATAAAAGATTATACAAAAATGAATTTTTTACCTAATATGCTAATTTTTTTTACAATACTAGTGCAGCCATGTTTTATTTGAATATAGTAGATATTACATGTATAATATAAATAAGCTACTGCAGTTTTTCAAGTAAAAATTTAATAAGGAAAAACCTACTTTGTGGTAGTGCCAACCTTTTTTTAAAAAACAAAGGGGCTAGTAAAGGGACCTACTAGTGTGAAAAAATTAAGAAAGAATCTATATTGTTTGCATTTGGATCAATATGTTTCTCAGATTTAAATCTAATAGTAATGATATCTATTTAACTACTATAATTCTATTTTTTAGGCTATATTATAACTACAAATAAAAACTATACAAGATTAAATAGAAGAAAAGACTCTATATACAACTAAGAAAGCACTAGCAGAAAAGGTGAGTTGGGCTTGGTATAAAGTGATTTGAAAGTCATACTACTACTATCACTTTTGTACTATCAGCTGGTTACTCTTCGAGGGTTTCATTAGTCCAAGTTGAAATATCTCTTTTTCAGCTACTTTCAGTACAGTCATGTTGTAATTTCTTGTTTTCCAGCTCCAGTCCTTTCTTTTGATTTTAACCTTACCCTATTTAGTATGGGACCTCTGTCGATATTCTTCCAGATGATAATAAGTTAGGGTTGGGAGGGGTTCTAGGATATAAAGAAGAAATAGCTCGATAATGCTGTTAGGGTTTCTTTTCTTAGATTATATAAGCACTAAGGGGGAGGGGCCTGTTATCCAATAACCTGCCTTTTTTACCATTGCGACAGTTCTATTCTAGAAAAGAAAGTCTTAATATATTCAGCTTGCACTTTATTAAATTTGATAAATATTATGCTATTTTTCCCAAAGTACTACTATCTTGAGAGGTTGAGCCATGATCCTTTTTTCTTCAAACTACACATTAATCCTGCCTTTTGGTTGATACGAACGATAAAATCTTTCTGTCTATTAATCTAATACTTACTTAAATGAAAGACCAGTTGGATTGACTCGTCCGATATTGCAGGTGGTGAAAAAAAAGATTTTTTCCAAGGTTCAAGTGAAGCAAGAAGATTATTCCAATTAGATAGATCCCTTTTGAAAAGAGATTGTTTTTATTTTTGAATTTTTTTTTTTTTGGTGGATTTTGAATTGTCCCCTTTCCCCAATTCTTTTTTCTCCTTCTCTTTTTTAACTTAGCAATTTATTGGTTTTCGAAAAATCTACAGTGACAAACTGTTGACAATGATCTTGGTAGATAGAGATTATTACCAATCTATTAGGGGAGTGAAATATTGTCCTCAAAATCTGACTTAAAGTACTTTTGTATGAAGACAAGTTAGTCACTTTGTGAAAGTCTATAAAATATTGTAAATTCATTTCAATTTTTCAATAAAGACATGCCATTGTGGCATGATTGCGGGTTAAATAAAAAAAGAAAAGAAATAAATAATATATTATAGTAGTTAATATTATAATATTATTAATTAATAATGTCAAAAAAAAACTTTTTCCTGAAAAATTCCAACTGCAAAAAATTTCCTTTTTAGGCAAAAACAAAAAATGAACTTATCTCCTATTATAAAGTAGCACTCTTTAGCAACATGGCCTCTACAAGACAACCGAGAAGCCTGGCATGACAAATAACACTGGAATATAATATCGATAAACTTAGCAAGAACAATGATAGGATCCTGAAAGCAAAAGTAACAACACCTGCCTCTTAACTCAGACACTTCCCTCTTGGAACCAGGACAGCACCACCCAAGAAAAAGTTGACAAACAACCGGCAGAGTAAAAAAGTCAATGATCGCGATGATCTGGGAAATGCAAAGTCATTGTAGCATATGAACTTTGATTAAACTACTAATGAGAAATGATAAACCCATTCCCCTTACGGTTCTTTTAAAACTAAATAGTGTTTTCTTGCCGGAGGTAGTTACATAGTGGCTATAGCGGGTACATATGAGATAAGGAAAGTATATAAATCGCATTACGTATTTCGTATTTAATCGACGAATCAGTGATTCAGCGTAGAAGTTTGTGAAACATGCGTAAATCTTTTTTTTTCACTATACGTATTTAGGCTAGAAGATATTTCTATAATAAACATGCTTCACGATAAGATCAAGCGTAAACGAGACTCGAAAAGGCAATAAGGAAGGTCAGCCCGTTGATCTCTATTAGTGCGTATGTTGAAAGACTCATGTCCTGGGAAGTCGAAATCTCCGCAATCTCCGAGATCGTCGTGAATTTGCCATCTATACGAGTTGCGTAATCTATTTACTTAAAAAGCCACTGATCTACTTAAAAATAAACGAAAAAATTTTCATTCTCTTCCCTTGCATTATCTAGCTTCACTTTGCCAAATACATAAACCGACATAAACCAGATTCTTTACGCCATATACCGTTATAAAAAAACAATGTCTTCTCCTTCCTCACCAATCTCTATATCCTCAACTTTGACTGAAGAAAGGTCAACTCGAACGATGGCAGACGTTGTGAAGGAATACAAGACGGAAGAACTCATCGATTATTTACGAAGACATGAAAACTTAGATCTTATTGAGGCGGATTTTAAGATCCTACGTAGTGAAAGGATTTCTGGTCGTGATTTTTTCAAGTTTAGCAAACAAGATTTCAGGGATTGTGGGTTTAAAGTGGGACCTGCGACAAGACTTGCAGATTTTGTTGAAGAGCTTAATGAAACAAAATTACGAAGCTTCTCGTCATATAAAACATTGGTCTCCACAAATATAAAGTCAATGGTGGAAAAATTACATGTATAAAACAATTCAGTCCGGGTAATTAATACATAATTCTTATATAAAGACATTTTCATTTCCTGTCGTTTAATAACTTCTTTTCTACAGTTTTCAAGGAAATCGATGATGACGACAAAGCACTCGAGCAGTGTATGAATGAAATTACATTGAGACTTTCGAATCTGGAGACCATGCAGGATAGTACAAATGAAGCAACCCGTTGTGTTTTCATTACGTCTATCCTAAATGCATCAATAGCAATTACTCGAAAAGTTACCAATGATGAAAAAATATATATTGCGTATCAAGATGATGTATCTGGAGAAGATGCCTCTGGACGTGTCGATTATTCGATCAAAGGATATGAAGATCTTATATGTATAGCCGAGGGAAAACCACTTAATGTTGAAATTGGGTACCTCCAAAATATAAAACAACTAGAAAGTGCAAGCCATATGAATAAAAGAAAGCGAACCGCAGATCAGGCATTTCATAATGACGACGATGATTATCTTTACGGAATAGTCTCTACAGGTATGAATGAGATAATATCTCTGATGCGAATTTTGTTTTATATCAAAACCTTATGGGGTTTTATCCAATCGGGTATGTGGGGTCATGACCCCATTGATTATCTTTTTTTTCTAGCTACGGAATGGCATTTTATCAAACTCTGCACGGAAGGGTTATATTGTACCAGCAAAAGCGAATATCGGATTAATTTATCCAAAACGGCATTGAAGGAGGATATTGAATCGATCAGAAAAGGCGTGAAAAAAGTCATTGGAGTAGTTGTGGGGTTATTGAGAGATAGAGTTACGATGTGTGATGAACACGAAAGTAAGAAAAGACGCGTGCAAGAAAAAATCCAAAAATAGATATAATATTTTTATCTGTGTTTTTCTGAATTTTATTTGTAACAATAAATAAAGTATACGTATATTCTCCAAAATTTTTTCAGTATATTGATATCGATGTCTACTAATCCACATAGTCTACTAATCCACATATGATGATATGTCTTTGACTCGAGAATTTTTCTTTGGCAAAAGTGATCGGCGTTACAAATTGTAACGCCCACGTGATTTTATTTTAGAGAAAATTTTAACAGGTACTGTATATATGGCATTACGCTATTACAGTGTATGAGAAATTACTTGTAAAAATTTTGCTAAATTCATATGACCCAGATTTTCAGTCCAAAACGCCAGCTATTGCATCCATTTTGCACCCAAAAGATCAGTCGCCCAGTCGAAGAAGAGCATCCGCAAATGAAAGCCGTGATGGTCTTTGCTCAGCTCTTGCATTATCAAAAGATGCTGTAACATCGCGTACCAGTAACTAAATTTATAAATAAGGATTATATAGAAGTCTGATTTCGTAAATTTCATAATAAAACCTACATTAGTACATACCGCCCATTTCAATACAGATTCATAGAAATAAACGAAGGATTTCATTTCAGAAAATTTCCGAGGAAGATTGGCATTGTCGACCTCATTTAGTCTATATGTTCCTGAATTAAAATTTAGTAACAGATCATTAGTACCTCCTTATAATGCAAGTATTTCGATAGAAAGAATAATACATACCGCAATAGTCGAGGAAATATAAATATATCCGGAGGCGAAAACTCTGACCACCAAAAATATACAGCTTTTTTGGTAATCATTGCCTACTTTTGACTCTTTCTTCCACAATTTTCGCAAATATATTCCTTAAATTTTTAGTTATTTTTTTAACATCATCAATCTTCTTCTCATCCTTCGCCACTGGTCTGGAGCCTTCCAAATATATAAGCTGATATTTATCGGCATCCGTCATAAACCCGACTCCGTCCGCTCGATTACGATTAATATGATTGTTTGACGAGATCTCACCATATTCGTAATGTATGTCTGCAATGTACCACAAAAAAGCGTCAATACATGGATGGACGAACGCATTAAGATGTGCATGTTCTAAGGTAGTAACATTAAAGAGTGGGTTTTGCTCATCAAGTGAAAACGCCTTAATACTACAAGAAAGAAATATTTAGAAAGAACTTGAAGAAAAAAAAATCGATATGACAATGCTACATACAATTGTGGCAATGTACGTCGCAAAACTCGAACTACTGCGTTCAATATAAAATCATCATTTTCTGGTGCTCTTAAATCATCGATTCGGTAATTCCACTCCTTGGCTGACAAATTTTGTGAAAAAAATTTTACAAGGAATTCATGAACATTTGCGGGAACTAACGACTCCGTCATATTATCCATCTCTGTCAGATATGATATTGCTATTTGTTTTGGGAGTTTTTTAAGAAAGAGTGAATTCAGCCGGAGGTCAATTAAGTCGCCATTGGGGCATTGTTCTTTATAAATTAAAAATATTTGTTTTGTTGAATCTGAGGATTTAATAATGTTTCCCAGAACACCTGTTATCTGGTAAAAAAGTTAAAAATTCGTTGGTTTAGAATGTATTATTAAATAATTGTTTAGAACATCATTTGGAATGATTTTTCTCACGTCACATTCTTGAGAGGAATTTTCAAGAGGATTGATTGCTAACCCCTTCTCAGTTTCTGCTTCCTCTATGTTTTCTTGATCTGTAGATTCCTGTTCATCCTCGGCTTCTTCAACCAATTCACAATAATCAGGTACAGCAACTCTCCCGCTTCTCGTTCTTTTTTCGAATTCAGTTTTGCACTTGATTTATAAGACAGAACGGCAAAATTTTTTATCATATATAATTGTCAATGTTTAGTTATTCATTGTGAAGGAAGTAATACGTTAATAAAGTCGCTTGATCTCACCTTTTTCTTCTGTGTCAATGGAGTTTTATTTCTTTCGTCCAATGTTTCCTCTCTATCATCGTGATCTTCTTGTCGACGTTTTTCGGTTATACGACGATTATCGACAGACACAGCATTTCCAGTCGCAAGCACTTGTTGCTCCACCTAATAAAAAATATTACTTAAATATTTTTTTTATCTATCAAATTTCAGACCCGAAGCTCACCTGCTGATACTTAAGATTGTACTGCGAACTATCCCTTTTCATCGGGGAGGTCCAAATCTTAATGAAAATGCAGAATCAGTAGCATCCATAAAGGGACATTGCGTAAAACCAAGCGTCGAACTAACAGTTCATCACTGTAGACTAGAGTCACAGCTTGCGCTTAAGCGTCGTTCTAACAGTTCATCACTATGGACTAACAGTCATAGCTTGCGCTGGAAGAACTAGCAGTTCATAACTGTGGACTAACAGTCACAGCTTTTCCCTAATCGTTCAAAACTAATAATAAAAAGTCGGTTTTCCTAAATTGTTCAACATAATTATACCTTCCAGCTGTCTATAATTTCCTGAGCTTTTCTTTTGCGTCTCGCGTCAAAGGTTGGGTCTGATGCCACAATTTGGAGATCCTTTTTTATTTTGTCAAGTACTTTTGTCCAAGTTTTTTGTCCCGAGTTCGCACGGTAATACTTTACAACCTTTATACACGCCCAGTCTTCAATCTCGTTAAGTTTGTAAAAATCCATCGGTTGGCGTCGCGTGACGTTGTGATTAAACAAGTACAACAGATCGATTAGACGATAAGCGATTATTAGGGCGGCCGCATATATGCGTTGGCCAATCAAAAATATGCGTGCGGTAATTTATTATATATACCCTTTATGGCTTTAAAATATGCCCGAAAAAATGCGAAAAAATGCGAAAAATGTAAAAAAATGCAAAAAAGTTAAAAAAATGCGAAAAAAAAAAGAGAAAATTTTATTATATTTATTAATCCTTATTAAAATATAAAAAATTTAAAATGGAAATTGATTCCTTCGATAATGAACAACATTATCACTAAGAATATTTCTATAAGATGAAAAACTTCTTTCTACATAAATCCCTGATACTGGAAATCAAATATACATTAATGCTATTTAAACAAATTTGGAAGATGATTTTTTTTATCATTCCAATATTCATCTAAATCTAATTCATTATATTCTTCAAATGTTACTAGGATTTTTAAATTCTTTGATTTCACTATATCTTTGAATATTATATCTTGCTTGACTAACTTGTATAAATTGA